GATAGTCTTAAGTGCAGAAGTGGAACAAACAAATATGCAGGAAATCTTAGGGGCTTATACTGGAATATAAACAAACTGCTTAAAGGGAATAATGGCACTCCACATTTTAAAACAGATGGAAGAGGCCTTTCTAAAATCATTGTGAATATAGGGACACCTGAATGACTCAGAGTTGAGCATCTGTCTTTGGCTCAGGGCGTGATCTCGGGGTCCAGGATCAAGTCCCACATTGGGCTCCCTGGGAGGAGTCTGCTTCTCCCTCTGCCTTTGTCTCTGCCTCTCTCTTTGTGTCTGTCTCTCTTGAATGAATAAGTAAAATCTTAAAAAATCATTGTGAATATCACAAGAGTCAGCATTGTTGAGTGGAGGGTTCTTAAGGACTGGAAGCCATGTCAAAGAAGGGAAGGGGGAGGAATAGGTAGAGAAGCAGACGGATGTTCCAGAAAAAAAGAAGGTCACATTAGAGCAACAGTTGTCCAAGTGTTTACTGACACTTAGGAGTTCCTGAGGCCCTTTCATGGGGTCTATAGAGTCAAGATGAGGCCAAAACTGTTTTCATAATACTACTAAAATGTTAATCACTCCTTTTTTAATTGCTAAGAATATATGTATATATGTATAAATATATAAAATTTGCCATCTCAACCACTTTTAAGTATACAATTCAGTAGCGTTAACTATATTCACATTGTTATTCGACCAATCTCCAGAACGTTTTCATCTTCCAAATCTGAACTCTATAACCATTGAACAACACTCCCCTTTTTTCTCTCTCCAAGCCAACCCCTGTAACCACTGTCCTATTTTCTGTTTTGATGAATATGGCAGCTTTATATCTCTCATATAAGTGGAACCAAGTAGTACTTGTCTTTTTGTGACTGGCTTATTTTACTTAGCATGATATCAAGGTTCACCCATGCTGTAGCAAATAACAAAGTTTTCTTCTCTTTTAAGGCTGAATGATATTCCATTTTATGTATACACCACATTTTGTTTATTCATCTTCCTGTGGATATTTAAGTTGCTTCTACTTCTTGGCTATTGTGATGTTTCTTTGCCCTTTACACTGAATTGGCATTTATACTAGTGATGCAAAGCAATGGGCAGGTAAAACTGTAGGTACCTTAGCACAAGTCAAGATGGAGGCACCAAATTATACTATTAGTAGTTCTAGTCATCACTGTCACATAGTTGTAATGTGAAAAAGAATTCCAGTTGCATTTAAGAATATAGTTTTCATATTCTGTGTGACAAAATTGGAAATATGCACTTCTGTTGCACCCTGAAGTTGTCTTGAGCAAAAGCCCTTAGGCAGTTGTTTGGGTTATGAGCTGCTTTTATCATGGAATATTGTTTTTACTTGAAAGAATGACTGCCAGATGGGATTCCTGGGTGGCTCAGCGATTTAGCGCCTGCCTTTGGCCCAGGGCATGATCCTGGAGACCTGGGATCAAGTCCCACCTTGGGCTCCCTGCATGGAGCCTGCTTCTCCCTCTGCTTGTGTCTCTGCCTCTCTTTCTCTCTCTCTTTCTCTGTGTGTGTGTGTATCTCTCATGAATAAATAAATAAAGTCTTTAAAAAAAAAAGAATGCCAGAAAAACTATAGTTTTCAGACTTGGGTATTTTGTAGATATATTCTTGAATATGAATGAAGTAAAAGCCTGTTACTCTAAGGAAGACAACTGTCAGTGTTTATTGTCAATGATAAAATGTGAAGTTTCAACTGAAAACTAGCAGCTTGGAAAATTTGTATCTTTCACTATGAATTTGCTAGCTTCTCAATACTTAAAAGACTTTTTTGATAATATTGGTAGTGATACTATGAATGTGTGGGTGGGTCTTTTTTTTAAATATTGTAGAATGAAATGAAATGTGTTCCTGTTAGGAAGATTTGCAAATCTCAGTAAACCAGTATCTTCCAGTATAGGATGTTACAAAATTATGCAGGGATAAAAGCCATTCAAAGTGCAAAATAGACTGATGGTTAACGATACAGAGTATGGAAGGATACTCTTTTAATAGGAATTTTTTTTAAAGATTTTATTTATTTATTTGAAAAAACATGAGAGAAAACACAAACACAGGGCAGAGGGAGAGGGAGAGGGAGGGAGAAGCAGGCTCCCTGCTCAGCAGTGGAACTTTATCCCAGGAACCTGACTGAGATCATGACCCCAGCCAAAGGCAGACATTTAACCCACTGAGCCACCAAGGTGCCTGGATTTTAGATTTCACATTGCAACTAACCTTTAAAAAACTTCACTTGTTGAGTTTTAGGGTAGTATGAAAGAAGAATATGCACAGTGATCTAAATGGGCTGTTAAAATATTCCTTTCTTTTTTTTTAATTTTATTTATTCATGAGAGACATAGAGAAGCAGAGACATAGGCAGTGTGTAATGGGTTTATTGTTATATCTAAATTAATAAAAAACAATTTTTGTTTTCTAACATTGTAAATATAAATAGATGTAACCCTCATATACAAAAGCTCTTTTGGAATCAATAATTTTTAAGAATGTAAAGGGATACTGAACCCCAAAAGTTTGAGAGCCAATGTACTGGAGAAAAGTTATTCATTAAGCAGGAGGAATGGGATCTGGAATCTAGTGAGAAAAGTCTTTAGTGAGGAAGGTAAAGTGAGAGGGAAAGCAGAGAAAGATATGTGAAGTAGAAAGATTGCTATGATGAGAAATGAAGTCATTTTGGGCAAGAGATGGTTTTTGCCTGCTTTTTATGTATGGCATCCTATGAGGTCAGTATTTGCAGGAGTTCTGTAACTTGAACCCAGATGTCTTCCTACCTTTAATGTGGTAGCAGTGAGCTTTTATATGAGTTGACTTGTGGATTATAAGACAGTTCAGCCCAGTCATTTGATTACAGTGGGTTAGTATGTGGTGGAACAGAGTCTTCGGGACTGTGAACTTACTAGAGTGTAACAGATTTTTACCACCTGCTTCATTTCCCATAACTCACTCTCATGTTGGATCCAGAAAAAAAGTTCTACCTGACTCTATTCTATGTAATATGTAATAAATTTACAGCATTCGATTGGAGTTCAAATATATGTTCTTCTCTCACTTAGCTTTGTGGAATAGGAAAGGTACTTAGCTCTTCTTTTTTATATTTCCAAACTGTTTTTACAGCTCCTCTATTCATCAAGTTTGCTTTTTTCTGTCTAAAGTAGGGAACTTTATGGTCACATACCAATGTGAAATCACTAGTAAACATGGGCTAGATTGTCCTGAGGGGTAGGACATGTGGCTTATTGTCTGATCAGAGGTAGATTTCCTGCAGCGCTAATGATACCTGCACTTCAAGGCCCCAAGCATTTGTGGGCCCCTTTCATATTTGTAACATTGAATCTTTCTTCAAAAAAGAAAGATTCACTGGTTAAAGAAATCCGCCCCCCCTTCCCTAATGGCATTAGCTTCAGGCTTCACAAAACCTGTTACTGAAGAGTTCTGTGTAATGGTCTAGGGGATCTAGGGATTAGCTCTAAATACAGTGTTGGGTGACTAGGGCTGATATAAGGAAGGGAGTTTAGCTGTGATACTTGAAAAAATTCACAGCATTGCTTTCAGAACATTTATTCAAGTATTAGTTCAACTTACAGTAATACTTAAATTTAAAACAGTTTACAGGACAACATTTTAATCTGTCTGCCATGCAGACATTTTATTTATGTATTCTTAGCACTGAGAAAGAGCTCTTTTTCTAAGTAATAAGCTAAAAGCCATTCTCACTGAGCTCCTCTTCAAGTGAATGAAGCCTTTGAAGAGGAGTCAGCATGTGCTCACTTCAGCATATACTGAAGAGGAGTCAGCAATGTTTGTACTTTTCACACCCTCAGGTTCTGAGTGAACTTCAATGTTTATAAAGCCTCAGGGCTCAGGAGCATTTTAACAACTCTTAGCTTTCTTTTCTTCTCCATAGAGTCTCCTACTATTTGCTCTCCCAGTAATGATCACATAACAATAAGAGCAGTGGCAGCACAGCACTGTGCTAATTACCCAGCTTCTGTTGTCTCTCTGAGGGTAGAGACTCAAGATTCTTATTTTACAGATGAGGAAACAGTCATGGGGGATGGAATAATTGCCTGGTGGGCATTAAGGAGGGCAGGAGATGTAACAGAGCACTGGGTATTAAAAGCAACTGATAAATTATTGAACACTACATCTATGTATTGTAGGTTGGCTAATTGAATTTATTTTTTTAAATAAATTATTTTTATTTTATTTATTTATTCATAAGAGACAGAGAGAGGCAGAGACACAGGCAGAGGAAGCAGGCTCCCCTTGGGAGCCCAGGATTAGGCCCTGAGCTTAAGGCAGGCGCTTAACTGCTGAGCCACCCAGACGTCCCTTACTGTTATTATTTATACATATTTTATAAACATTCTTTTTATGACCACAAAATAGTTTCAAAGATTATAGAGAAGCATAATTATTGCATTTATGAAATACATTTTTTTATTAATGCAAGTCTAGCAATAAAAAGTACAAAGCAAAAAGCCCCATAAATTTTTACCATCTAGAAATACATATAACTGATAATCATTCCAGAGTATTCGTTGTTTATATACAGAAAGGATAGATAGAAGAGAAATCATTAGGATTCATTTAGTTGACTCGTGTGCATAACAAACTGCCCTGTATCTTAGCAGCTTATAACAACAAAAACCAGTTATTTACTCAGGCCTAGAAGCTCTTTAAAGTTGGTAAGAGATTTGGTACTCCAGCCAGTTTCAGAACTGCCCCCAAACCTGGAGTAATCTTTTAGTTTTCTGATTTCAGTGGCCTCCGGGCAAGCAAATCAGTTGTTGCCTCATATGTATATACATCAGTAACTATGGTCAGTGTTGTTTCATTCCTTAAAATGTGTGGTTCCATGTGGCTGGCACATGTAGCCAATTAATGAAGACTCATGAACAAATGAACTAAAGCAGTGGTATCTTTTGTGGACTCAGATACTTGATACCAGTTTCTCTTTCTGCCTGACTTAGGTATTTGGCTCGAGTAGGGGAGCTTGAAGCAACTGACACTGAAGACCCAACTCTGAATTATGGACTTGTTGTGGACTGTGGCAGCAGTGGCTCCCGGATTTTTGTTTATTTCTGGCCAAGACATAATGGCAACCCCCATGATTTGCTGGATATCAAACAGATGAGAGACCGCAACAGCCAACCAGTGGTTAAAAAAATCAAGCCAGGTACTAATCAGAATATATTTTGTTGGCAGTCTCTTTTTATCTGATTACAGGCATGAGAGAGGAGAGAAGAAAAGAGGGAGAAAGAAAGCTACTCTTTTTTCCTTGGGATTCTGGATCACAGGAAGGATATCTCATTAATTGCTGCTCCCATTCTCATAAATAAATGTTTAGGACCTTAAGCAGAACTTTATGGAGTATCAGACTGCTGAGTCAATGTGATCTGTTTTTTAAAGTACTTTTCCTTACTTAAGGAATCTCTGCAATGGCAGACACCCCAGAACATGCCAGTGATTACCTTCGTCCTCTGCTGAGCTTTGCTGCTGCTCATGTGCCTGTGAAGAAGCACAAGGAGACACCCCTTTACATCCTATGCACAGCAGGCATGAGGCTTCTCCCTGAGAGGTGAGATGCAGGGTCTAAAAACACAGGAAAATGGGTGGCACAAGAGTTGCAAGCCTGATTCTATGCATTGTTCTCTGTAGCTCCCTGGTCTGAAGATGGGATGTGGGTATACCACACAGAGTAGGCAGATACACTAAAAGACTTCTTGCTCAAAATAGAGCAGAGCCACCCCTGCATGTAATTACTTCATAATCCTTTGTTCAAAGCTTCATGTCAGTTGCTTCTCTGGGATTGATATCTGTATGAGTGGCTGTAATGATCCTCAGTTTTGATGGAGAAGCAATGGCAATGTTGATAATTTTGGATCACTAGATGGGGAGCATAGTTACAGAAGGGTCGTAGGAGGTTCATCTGACTAGGTACCTGGATGCTAATAGGAAGGGCTCTGACTGTCTGGCTCCCTGGTGATAGTTGGTGCTGCTTGCAAAGCTCAGTCTCCATTGCTCTAGACCAGTTTTTTCAACCCCAGCCAGTCAAATCTTTTCCACCAGACCTTGGTAGTGTAATCCAGTATCTTGCCACCTGATCCCTCTTGCTTCCCTGGAAGAAGAGGAGGAGGAGAAAGGGGTAGTGGCTATATTTAGGTCAGACCCCTTCAATACCTCCCTGACCCTTCCACACTTATTATGGTCACGGGGTGGGAGTAAACTCCCTTAACCTTAGAAATCATCCATCTGCAATGTTCAAATCCCATAAGCATCAGGTATTTTTTATTAGCTTAAATATTTTTTCTTGGTGAATAACAGTTCCCTTTTCCAGAAAGTTTTATATTGTATTCTTGGCCAGCAACAGTAAAAACCTCAGCCATGCATGTAGGGGTTCGTGCTGCTTATGCTAGATGTGCCAGATAACATAACATTGGCCCACAGTTCTTTCAGTGGACTTCTTTCCTTCTGTTTAGATATGAGGTTACTGGTTTACTATCTGGTTTACTGTTGAGAAGGAGATTATTTTGTATAGCCATTTGTGGAAATGAGAGACCTTTTAGCTCCTTATTTTTCCATAAATCTTGGCCTTTAAAAATTTTTGTTTCGTTTTTATTTTTAAAAACAAATTTTAAAATATTATAGCTGCATTAAAGGAAATATTAAAAGTAAAAAAAAAAAACAAAAACAGAAACTTGTATTCCTACTACCCCATCAAAATGTTTCATTTCATCACATTCCCTTCTCTCTGTACATCTATATGTAGTTCTACAAAGTTGTAACCATACTATGCATGCAATTTAGGATTTTTGGTTTTGACAGTAATATTCACATAGTTCAAAATTTAGAAATCCTGGCAAGATATGGGTGACACTCAGGTCTGTGAGTGATCTGCAGTTAACACCAAGGAAGGAGGAGGATGGCCAGAGAAAAAGCTGATTCAGAAGTCAAAAAGGCAGAGCTAACAAGGAAGGTGATGGTTTGGCCACATTTTGTGGGTCTGGAGCAAAAGAGGATTGTCTCATCTCCTGATACCACTCAGCACTGACTCTGTCAAAAAAGTTTCCATCCAGACAAAACCCACTATGTAGCTCTATTCCATTTGTCTAAGATGTTCACTGTCTGCATGGAAGCTCTGAATATTAATATTTATTTATCTTAAGGATTTGTGAAGAGCTTGCTTTTTTTTTTTAAGTTTCTTTTTTTAAATTTTTATTTATTTATGATAGTCACACACAGAGAGAGAGAGAGAGAGAGGCAGAGACACAGGCAGAGGGAGAAGCAGGCTCCATGCAGGGAGCCCGACGTGGGCCTTGATTCCAGGTCTCCAGGATCACACCCCGGGCTGCAGGCAGTGCCAAACCGCTGTGCCACGGGGGCTGCCCAAGAGCTTGCCTTTTAACTTGTCTTCTTATAATCTCCTCTAATAATGCCTGGATCTATGAAATCATTGCTACCTCTTGAGGCAGCCGTAGTTGTTGACATAAATGTAACCACCACTGTAAGAACCTGTTTTGTATAATTAATGCTTTACTAATTTATTAGCATTTGTGAGCAATATTCAAAATGGGTTCAAATCACCTGGACTATATTTTGAAATGTGTTAGCACTAGGTTTTCTTTCTTTGCCAAAGCCTGAACTAACAATTTGTTTTACCCCATTTTCATTTTATAATGGAACTATCCTTAAAAATTACAAAGATAGTAAAGCTCATATTTAAGAGAAAAGAAAAACTTTCGGGATGCCTGGGTGGCTTAGTGATTGAGTGTCTGCCTTTGGCTCAGGGCGTGATCCCAGAGTTCTGGGATCAAGTCCCACATTGGGCTCCCTGCCAGGGGCCTGCTTTTCCCTTTGCCTATGTCTCTGCCTCTCCCTGTATCTCTCATGAATGAATAAATAAAATCTTTAAAAGAAAAAAAAGAAAAGAAAAGAAAAACTTTTGTTATGGGGAAATTTCAAACCTCAAAAAAAAATAGAACAGCATAATGAAACCTTATTTTTTTTAATAAATTAATTTTTATTGGTGTTCAATTTACCAACATACAGAATAACACCCAGTGCTCATCCCGTCAAGTGTCCCCCTCAGTGCCCGTCACCCATTCACCCCCACCCCCCGCCCTCCTCCCCTTTCACCACCCCTAGTTCATTTCCCAGAGTTAGGAGTCTTTATGTTCTGTCTCCCTTTCTGATATTTCCCACACATTTCTTATAATGAAACCTTATTTTCTTACCACTCAGCTTCAACAATTACCAACATTTTGCCACTGAAGTTTTTTTTTGAAGTTTTTTTTAAATAAACAATAATTGAATTTTAGAGAACAAAAGTTCTATTCTGTGCATACATGAAGAATTTTTTTATTGTTTAATATGAATTGGGATCATATTATGTGTGTTGTTTAGAACCTTTTAGAACTCAAAATATATCAGACATCTTTTCACGTCAATATGTATGGATATAAATCGACCTCATGTCTTTTAACATCCGTCTAGTATCCCATGGTATGGGTACACCACAGATTATTTAACCAATACCTAATTATATGCATTTAGGTTATTTTCACTTTTTCATTGTTATAAATAATGCTGCAGTATTCTCTTCTTTTTGTATTCTTATCTGACAATTTCCTTGAAATAAATTTCTAAAAGTGTAATAGCTGGTCAAAGGTTAAAGATATTAAAAATTTGGATACATAGTCCTGGGTTGATCTTAGAAAGTCATACAAGTAATTTATATTCCAAGCAGCAGTGTATGTTGACACCTATTCTCCTGTATCATCACCAATACCAGCAAGCCCTCTTCTTGAAACATACCCATAGGGAGGGCAAAACAGTCCCTCTCATTCCACATGTAAAATTCTTACTGTAAGAATTTGAAATATATAACAGTGATCTTTTTTGGAAACCATATTTGATAGTATATTGGGAAACTATTACTAAATATATTCTTCACGTTTAAGTGTTAACATTCTCTACTAAGTTGTGCCAACAACTATGTGAGCCAATGTAATATTTTTGTAATGAATAATTTTAAAAATCCAAGATAATTGCTCTTATTTTTAACCATTTTCTCTAAATTCATGTTATTACTTCTAGCTTTGTGACTTTGCTTTTCTTTAACAGCACTGTAACACAAAACTTTAGAGGAGAAAACAACCCTGGATACTAAGACTCAAACTTTGTCCCAAATTGTTACAACCTTTAGATTTTGATCCTGATCTGGGTTTTTCAAAAAATATTTTTATAAAGAAAAAAACCCCAACCCTCAAAACGTTCATTGTTTACTTGTGTAAAGGATTATTAAAAACTTGTGTACCTAACAGTGCTCGTCATGTGGTAACGTGAGGCCTTGTTTCTGTGTTGAGTAAGAGCTGAGGATGAGATTGTGTTCCTCAGTCAAACAGCTTCTGTTTACAGCAGCTAGGGATCATGTAATTATGAAACCATGCTTCCTGCCACTTAAACATATTCACCCTGTGAGAGGCACAGAACCATAGTCTCATCTTTTAACACTATTTGAATGGTAAAATTATATAAAGGAAAATTATTACTAGTACCATATTACCTTTTATGTAGGAGGATGTACCTGGAATGCAATTTAAACCTTTGAAATCAAAAGAGCTACCAAAAGAAGCAGGACTCAACTTGGTGGATGGGCTATGTGAGCAGTGAGTGGTAACAAGTCTGAGTAGAAGGTCAAGTTGAAGCTAATTGTGAGAAGAGTGTTTAATGATTAACTTTTATGGTTTTTGTTTTTTTCTTGCAGAAAGCAGTTGGCCATCTTGGCTGATCTAGTGAGAGATTTACCGCTGGAGTTTGACTTCCTCTTTTCCCAATCTCAGGCAGAAGTGATCTCTGGGAAGCAGGAAGGTACTGGGCCTTGAGGGATGTACTGTTTCAGCTCCAGCCAACCGTGGCATAGTCTCTCTGGTGGGGGTTAGGATTACTTTCTATATTTGATTTTTGTTTTTCTTCAAATAATTTTGTTCATTCTGCTGTATAGTTTTTTTTGTTTTGTTTTGTTTTGATTATTTACATATTCTGCAATGGTATCTGTTTTAGAATGTTGCTTCTAGAGGGAAGGAGGTAGGGGGATGGAGTAACTGGGTGATGGACATTAAGGAGAGCATGTGATGTTATGAGCACTGGGTGTTACATAAGACTGATGGATCACTAAACTCTACCTCTGAAACCAATAATACTCTCTATGTTAATTGAATTTAAATTTTAAAAAATGGAAAAAAGAATGCTGCTTCTAAAAGTCATGTTTATATTTGTTTGTAATTTTGTGCTAAGTACTATGTTTATAAGAATGTATTAGTATTTAGTGATTATTCCAAATGGATATTTGGTTAGCTAATTGGAGTTTTGAAAACATACATATTTCTCTGAGTTCTACTGAGTTTGCCAAATTCAAATGTAAAGCAAATTTATTAGATAAGGGGGAAACTAGTTTTAGGGGATGATCAGGATGATCATTACTTACTTTTCTTTTGTTACAGCCTCTCCTTTTGTTGCATTTACTGTGCAGGACTGATGCTTACCTAAAAGCTTGTACTACTATTGGGTTTGAAGTTTGGGGGTGGAGTTGATTGTGTTCTCCTGTGGCCCAAATGTGGCCTGTATGACAAATTATGTTTCCATTTCTTGAAAAAGAAAAACCTGTGTATTCTAGTTGCAGTTCATATAAGGGAAAGGATTTATCCTTTTCAATTTCAGTATTGCATTTTTCAGTCCTAAAATTTACATTTGGTTCTTTTTTATATTCTCTTTCTTTGCTGAGACTGCCTATCTTTTAATTCATGCTAAGACTGCTCTTATTTCTTGATTATATAGCTGCTTTAATGTCTCTGATAATTCTGACATCTGGTCCTTTCCCTTATGAGTTGAGATTTTCCTAGTTCTTTTTATGCTAAGTAATTTTATATTGTATCCTGGACATTTTGAATGTTACATTATGAGACTCTGGGTCTTTTTTCAAAAATAAGGAGAATATTGATTGATTGTTTTAGCAGGGAGTTGACCTGGTTAGGTTCATGCCTCAAGTTCTGACTTGCCTTCTGTTGGCTATAAAGATTCTATTATAGGCTTCAGTTTTCAAAGTCTTGGCACTGCTATTTGGATTTGCTCCATTTGTATGTTACCCAGTGACCAATCTAGAACTGGGCATAGCCCATACAAATGGGTTGTCTAGCCAGTAGTTCAGTTCTCAGAACCTTTGGTATATTGTTTAGAGTGAGATCCGTTTATGTGTAGGTTGGCTGTGAGCCCTTCAGAGTTTTAGGTACCTTGTCCAACTTCTACCCCTGAAGGATTGCCTGGGGTGGCAGAGAACAAAATAAAGGGGAAATAACTTAAGGGATTTTCCTCCATTCTTTCTGAGCCTTTAGAGTCCCTTTTAATGTTCCTTGGACCAGAAAGCAAGGTCTTGAAGTTCTTTCTCTCTACACCTGTATGTCCTTTTGTGTTTCAAGCTGCTTTTGAGTCTAGGCTAGGCAAAATCTAGGGGGAAAATGGGAAACTCACTACTGGTTTGGTGGTCCTTTAACTTCTGATCTCTGTCTCAGTATGCCCGTTATTATTTCCTTTCAGACATTTCACAGATTTGCTCCATATGGCCCATTCAAAGTTTACACTTCTTTTCAGTGGACAGACAGGATGGAGTGTGCTTATTCTATCTTGCCCAGAACCAGAACTTCAAGATTCATATTTTTTACCATGTATTTTTACACATTAATCCCTAATCATTTGTTGGAAATTTAGACAATGCAAATCATTTTAAAGGGAAAAGCATCATAAGATACTTTCAATTCATACATTGAGTGTGTGGAATTAAATGCTCTCATCACCTTTTTCTAAGAAAAGGAGGAAAAGAGTGGCCCTGGAAAGAGGTGTAGACATGATTTAGCAATAGAGAATTAAATGAGGACTTTTATGTTTATTACTTAGGAGTTTACGCATGGATTGGAATCAACTTTGTTTTGGGAAGATTCGACCATGAGGATGGTAAGTAATGCATTTTACGACAGTTCTAAGCACTGAAGGTTTATGTTGTAACCCAGCAATAGAACCTAAGTACTACATTTGAGTTGTTTGAGTTGTTTAGTCTTTCTTTCTTCTTTCATTTTAAAAAACTCTATTAAGATATTTCATTTTCTAGTCCTAATTTGCCTTCTTTTATTTATTTTTAGCTTCTTAATATGGAAAGTTGCAAACATTCACAGAAGTAAAGAATAAAATGAATCTTCATGAACCCATTACCCAGACTCAACACTGATTAGTGGTTGGCTAGTTTTTTGGCCCCACATTCCATACAACACAGGTTTTTTTCCTGTTGGATTTTTAAAAAAGATTTATTTATTCATTTTTAGAGAGACAGTGAGAGCTAGAGAGTGAGAGTGGGGAGAGGGACAGAGGGAGAGAATCTCAAGTAGACTTCCTGCTAGGCATGGACCCCAACCCCATGATCTCAGGACCCATGAGATCATGACCTGAGCTGAAACCAAGAGTCAGATGCTTAACCAACTGAACCACCCCTCTTACTGGATTTTTAAAAGAAAATCCAACATATCATTTTATCTTCATGTACTTCATGAAGGAGTTTCTCACCAATGAGGAGTTTCAAAACCAATGATATATCTGCAATGGCATTTTTATTTTTTTTAAAGATTTTATTTATTTATTCCTATGAGAGAGAGAGAGAGGCAGAGACATAGGGAGAGGGAGAAGCAGGCTCCATGCAGGGAGCCTGACATGGAACTTGATCCCAGGTCTCCAGGATCATGCCCTGGGCCTAAGGCAGTGCTAAACTGCTGAGCCACCTGGGTTGCCCTGCAATGGCATTTTTTTTAAATTTATTTATTTATGATAGTCACACACACACACAGAGAGAGAGAGGCAGAGACATAGGCAGAGGGAGAAGCAGGCTCCGTGCACCGGGAGCCCGACGTGGGACTCGATCCCGGGTCTCCAGGATCGCGCCCTGGGCCAAAGGCAGGCGCTAAACCGCTGCGCCACCCAGGGATCCCCTGCAATGGCATTTTTAAACTTAAAGTTAACAATTTCTAATATCATGTAATATCCATCTACCCAGGTAGAGACTTACCTTATATCTCAAGAATATTTATTTGCAGTTGTCTTGTTAAAATTAGAATCTGAATGAGGATCACAAGTTATGTTTGACTGATCAGTTTCTTAATCTAAAACAATTAACTTACCCCCTCCCACCTCTTTTCCTCAAATTGTTCATTAAAAAATAAAAAACTAGGTCACTTGATAGAATAATTTTGACACATTCTTGATTTGGTTGACTGCACTTTTGTGAGGTCTTCAACATGCTTCTCATTCCTCCTTATGTCTTATAAATTGGAGATTAGATATAGAAGTTTGATTAGACACAGATTCAATTCTTTTGACAAGAGTAAATCATAAATAAAGATTGGTGCTAAGTGTTTCCTACTACATTACATCAAGAGTTTTATAATGTCTGGTTGTCCCACTTTTAGTCATGTTAAGACTGGTCAGGTATTCAGGATTCAGGTATTGTTAGCCTGATCTAATCTATTATAAAAATTCCCCAGCCACTTTTCAATTAATAGTTATAGTAGCCAGTTGTGATATTTTCTTAGATCCATTTTCATTAGAGGTTGCAAAATGGTGATTTTTCTAATTCCTTCAGCTCTTCTGCATTTAACAGCTTGGATTTTTATATAGGACCATTATATCACTGTTCTTTTTAGTGCTCAAATTATACCATCAGTGGCCAGTAGGAGCACCCTTAGGTTGGCTTCTATACATTTTAACATCCCAATAATCTTTTATATTTCCCTTGCTTTTTGGCACACTAAAGTATTCCATGTTCATCTCGTATGTTTTCTACCTTAGACCTAGCATTAGCCATTTTTTAAGGAGCCCTGGTTTCTTTTACTGGAAAATGGTATTTAGAGACTCTGGATGCCAGGGGTGCTCATTGTTCCTGGATTATCCTTGCCTCTAGGCCCTTTCAGTGAACAGAGCTAGAAAATATGTATTTTTAGAAAGAGAAAAATAAATCATGATTTCATAGTGATAGTTCCAGTTTGTATTTAAAATTATAAGATTATTGCTTAATATCTTTGATGTTTTACTTACAGATTTTTTCTTTTATGCTATTTCTTTTTTTTAAATTTGTTTATATTGAAGTTTGATTTGCCAACATATAGTATAACACCCAGTGCTTATCCCAGCAAGTACCCTCCTCAGTGCCTGTCACCCAGCTACCCCAACCCTCCGCCCACCTCCCCTTCCACAACCCTTTGTTCGTTTCCCAGAGTTAAGAGTCTCATGATTTGTCTCCCTTTTCCCACTCAGTTCCCCTCCTTTCCCTTATAATCCTTTTCACTATTTCTTATATTTCTAAAGATATTAATATAAACATTTGCTTTGTTTCCTAATATATGCTTAATGACTTAAAATAATAATACCAATAAAAGTATTTTCAATAAGACTACTACAATGCAGTTTAAGATATCTATTTGCTCTTATTGTCATTAAGATACATTCTATAAGGGATATAATAAAAATGCTGTGTTTTTAAGTTACTTTAAATAATTCTCTATAATATATAGTTGATATAGTTAGATTAATTTATTTCCATTTGCTCTTCATTTTTTAAGGGATTTCTGTTTGAGTTTTTTTTTTCCTTTTTGATTTAATTTTGTTTTTTAATTACTAGATCCTTTCTGTTCCCTTATCTATTTCAGAATCAGATGCCGAGGCTCCCCAGGAACTGGCAACAGGGCGCAGAAGAACAGTAGGGATACTGGATATGGGAGGAGCCTCTCTTCAAATTGCTTATGAAGTTCCTACCTCAACCTCGGTCCTTCCTCCAAAGCAGGTATTTTACCTTTTAGGGAAATTTGGTTGCTAGAAATGCCAGTATTTGGGAAGGAAGGGCACTGTCTTTGAACTTAGACCAACTTGCCTGGATCCCAAATATTTGTTCATCTACTTGCTAGCTAATATTATCTTGGGTAGGTTACCTTTCTGAGCCTTAATTTCCTCATATATAAAAAGAGAATAATAATAGTATCTATTTCATACAGTTGGGAGGTTGAAATGATACCATGTATGTAAAGCACTTAACAAACTTCCTGGCATGTGATGGATGTTTAATATATTCTAGCAATTATAATTATACTCCCTGTCTCCTAGGGCTGCCTGAAGATTAAACATGATAATACATATAAATCCAAGATGTTGTTTCCTTTCCCTAACTTATATTCCATTCATTCTTGTGGTTCTAATATTCCTTACCTGACTATAATGTAAGGAATGTATCTTGAAGTTTTATCATAGGAAAGAGAAATGCAGACAGTTTTTAAATACCTATTATGTGCAAAGAATAAGACCTACTGCCCCTCAAAGGTTATAATCTATCAATGAAGACCGCATGTGATAACAAGCAGACCATGACAGTGCTATCATTTGATCTAAACCAGGGTTTCTCATCATTGGCACTATTGACATTTTGGGCTAAATCAGTTTTGTTGTAGAGGGCTGTCCCATGCAAAATAGCTTCATCCCTGGCCTCTACCAGATGTCAGTAATGTCCCACCCCTGCTCCATGAATGGGAATCATGCTGGCTTGTTACCTGGGTCTTGGATGATAGAAGGCTTTTGCATAATGGAGGTGGAGAAGACCACCTGTGTGGAGGGAACAGTATGCCCAAGGACACAAAAGAAACAGCAAAGAGCCCAAAATGTCCAGGGAATGGTGAATAGCCTGTTGCAGTGTAGGATTTTCCAGTGTTGTGTAGCTAAGTCTAGGAAGATAAGATGAAGTTAGATGGTGAGGAGTCTTGGGTGTCATGCTAGGGAATTTCACTTTTATATCTATAGATGGAGGAGAATCAACAAAAGTTTTTGAATAGTGCATACAGATGGGCCTCAGTTTCATCTGTGAAATAATTAAACTCTGAAGGTCCTTCCCAGCTCTGTATTATGTGGCTGTGATCTAAATGATTTTTTAGGAAAATAATTTTGGTGTCAGTAGGAGAAAGAAATGTAGGTCAGGGAACATTAGGTAAGAAGTAATAAGGGCTAAATGAGGAAATATAAGTGGAAACGGAATGGAGGGGACAGATTTCAGGGATATTTTGAAATAAAAAAAAGCCATGTAGTATAGTGCTGTGGGTGGGGCGGAGAGGGATGGCCAGTGATACTGAGTTTCCTCCCTGGGTACTTGGTAGGGTAAGGAGCCCAGTTACTGAGAGAGACCTCATGGTAAAATATGGATTGATGGTAAGCAAATCAGTATGGTCGACATGGTTTGGGTGAGAGTGATTTTCTGGTCTCTAGCCCAAGTCCTGCAACCAGTGGGTTCAGTTTTGAGTATGTTGAATTTGAAATATCTGAGGAACACATGTGTCTAAATACCCAGCAAGATTGTTGGAAATGTGGTTTTGACAATCAGCAGGTGTCTGTGCAAGGTTTGGAAATTTGGGGAACTAAGTTGTAAGACATTTTAGTCTATATTTGTTAGTATGTTGTTAGCAAGTAAACTGAAGGCATGGTTCCAGTAAGTGGTACTGATACTTAAAGTCTTAAACAAATGACTTTTGTGTTTGTGCAGGTTTAGAAAGCAATGCTGGTATAGAAAGTATACTTGCAAGCAACAAATTAGATGTATTCATAGCTATATAATGGTCTTAAAGATGGATCTTAGTGCTTGATAAAGAAGAAAAAGAACAATGAGGCATAACATAATAGCACTTTACAAAATATAAGTAATCAGGATGCCTGAGTGGCTCAGCGGTTGAGTGTCTCCCTTTAGCTCAGTTCGTGATTCTGGGGTCCAGGGATTGAGTCCCATGTAGGGCTCCCTGCAAAGACCCTGCTTCTCCCTGTTTGTGTCTATGTCTCTGCCTCTCTCTCTGTGTCTTTCATGAATAAATAAAATCTTTTTTTTTCTGATGATAAAAATAGTACATTCTCATTTTGGAAAATTGGAAAATCAGGGAAGTATATGCAAGAAAATGACATCATCTGTTATAACGATTCTGCCTTTTAGAACTATATATAGTGTTGTAGTCCTTAATTTGGTATTTAGTCTCTGTACTGTTTGATGTAGGCTTGTCATTTTGTGTCTTTGTTGAAATAATGCTATGAAAATGAGAACGTTATAAGATACCTTCAAGAGTAGCTCCAGCGCACAGAGACTGGTGTGGTAGTGATGTCATAGCTTTATGTCAATCAGCCAAAACTAAAATTCCCTTTTTTCTCTTTACATTGTATTATAGGAAGAAGAAGCAAAGATCCTGCTGGCTGAATTCAACCTGGGCTGTGATGTGCAACATACTGAACATGTGTATAGGGTTTATGTCACGACCTTCCTGGGTTTTGGGGGCAACTTTGCCCGGCAGCGCTATGAAGACCTTGTGCTGAATGAAACTCTTACCAAAAATAGGTACTTTTTGGCCTGGACATCCATGCCTCTGAAACAGAATGTTGTTGGGGTGCAGATACTCATATCCTACTAAGATAGATAGGTCCTTGCTTCTTCCTTCTTCCTAACCACCCCTGTCAATGCAATAGTGTTGTTTAGAGACCCTCTGCTAGTAGGTCCACTCGATCTACATGAGGGTACATTCTCGTCTTTGCAGTTCAGACTCCAAAAAGTACAGCAGCTTGTTGGGACCTCTTATAGTGTCCTGTTTCAGAAATGGTATCATAGGGTAAGTAAGATTAAATTCTTTTTTGTTTTTTTAAGTTTTTATTTTGTTTTGGTTTTTGTTTTTAATTTATTTGACAGAGAGAGCACAAGCAGGGGGAGTGGCAGCAGAGGGGGAGGGAGAAGCAAGCTCCTCGCTGCTAAGGGAGTTTTTATGAGTCTCAATTACGAAAAGTTCACAGTATTTTGGGAGAATCCTGTTATCCCAGATGATTAATGAATGAATGTTAAAATCAGTGTGTTTGCATTGGGAAAATACTCTTACATCTGTACTCCTGCTGCTCAGGCTGTGGGCACTGCAGCATCTGAAGAACAGTTATGAGAGTTTCACATCAATTTTGTTAGCTGCTGTGCTTCTTTTTCCATTTCCTTCCTTTGTTGTTCTGCTACCCTTTTCTCTTTTTCTTCCATTTTCTGCCTCAGAACTTGCCAGACTGCATCATCATCCTCTCATGTATTGGTATTTTCTTGCCATGTACCCAAATTCCTAATTCAGAAGACTTATTCTTCATCTCATATAGCTGCTAATCTAGAGAAACCTGTGCTTTCTGGGATGTCAAAATGTAACGGTTCTTTCCTCTTCTTCTTCTTCCTTTTTTTTTTTTTTAAGAGAGAGTGAGCAGGGGTTGGGTAGGAGTAGAGGGAGAGAGAGAATCTCAAGCAGGCTCCATGCCCAGTGCAGAGCCTGTTGCAGGGCTTGATTCTATGACTCTGAGATCATGATCTGAGCTGAAATCAACAGTCGGATGCTCAACCAACTGAGCCATCCAGTTGCCCCTGGTTCTTTCATCTTAATATTTTCTGAGGTGTTTTTTTAAATAGTTGATATCACATCCTTAAAATAGGTTCCGGTCATTTCAAGGCATTTTGTGGTGTTGCCACATTTCTACTCCACCCTTCAGTCTTTACCCTCGTGGGGACTTCATCCCAGGAAGTCCTCTCTTCAACATACGTGTCTTTAGGAACTGGTGAACCTGTGGTTGGCAACATTTTTGGTCTTCACTTAATGTCTATTCTTGGCCAGGTCTGTATTTCTTCTCTTTAGGAATGGGAATATTGTTGCTGGGCAAGTGCTGACTTGAAACAGCCAGAACCATGTGGTGGCCACAGTGGGGATGAAAATCTGCGCTGTCCTTCCTGTCCCCAGGAAGGGGCAGGCATGTCTTCCTTCCTGTTGCCAGAAGTTGTCACTGAACCACTGACATGGTCCCCTCTTCAGGAGCCTCCCCTGGGCCTTCCCTCTTTACCTCCTCCCAGGTGTTTTGTTAAACATTAGAACTGTACTCAGTGTGGTGATATCTTGGTACTTTAAAGAGGCCAGTGGGAATGAAGACTAGATGGAGACAGCAGATTAACATTTCCAGTTTCACTCTACATTGGGAGATATACACATGGACTAAAAGGTTGAACAAAATTTGATCATTGCCATTCTCCCCCCCTTTTCTTCTTTCTTTCAACTAAACTGGATTTGCTTAAGGTAAATGTTGATGTGTTATGACTACATGATAAAACTCCAGTCTTCTTTCTAGGGATGCCATGTAAAACAAGGTATCTGTGAAGTGCATTCTTGGGCCAGCTTCTTAAGCTAGGTGTTTCTTAGAAGAGGTTGAGTACATTAGTGATGTGGTTTTTTTTTTTTTTTTTTTTTTTTTTTGTCATTGTGACAGGTTGCTGGGCCAAAAGACGGGTCTGAGTCCGGACAATCCATTTCTGGATCCCTGCCTGCCTGTGGGTCTCACAGATGTGGTAGAGAGGAACAGCCAGGTGCTACATGTGCGAGGAAAAGGAGACTGGGCATCTTGTGGGGCAATGCTGAGCCCCCTACTGGCTCGCTCCAATACCAGCCAGGCTTCGCTGAATGGCATCTACCAGTCGCCAATTGACTTCAACAACAGCGAGTTCTACGGTTTCTCTGAATTTTTTTACTGTACAGAGGATGTGTTACGCATCGGTGGCCGATATCATGGGCCAACATTTGCCAAAGCTGCTCAGGTAAATTGTTTATAATAAAGATACTTCATGCCAGCAGCAGCCATTTATTGGATGTCTGACTTTGTGCCAGATGCTGTGCAAAGAGCTTTGCATGCCTGATCTCACTGGATTCTTCACAGGGGCCCCATGAGCCCTCATTTTATAGATGAAAAAGTGGACTCAGAAGTTAAGGAAACTGCTGTGCCATACTGTCTTTAAATTCATTAAGTTTAGGTTTCCATGCACGTCCTGATCACCCAAATTATCACCCAAGTCCAAAATTGTTGTGTTAGCTAAAGGTTTTTCTCTAGTTTTCCCATAATCATGTTTAATGTTTGTGGCCAAGAGTGTCATCCCTAGATATTTTTCCCCTTACTGAGTATTCTCAATTGTATTGTGCTTTTGGAGATGATGTCTCACAGGTGGGCAAATGTACTTTCATTTTCTTGGTTTGGGTTATTAGGAGGCCAGAATGGTGCATAGGGTCACTTGGAATATTAGAAAGATGTTGGGAAAAGCAATGTCAATGGAAGTATTAAGACCAAAATACAGAAGAGATAAAAATTCATTTAGAGCATATATACAACATTAATAGCTTATGGGCTTAAATCATTAGTTACCAGAACAAGTAAAGTTTAGCTAGCTTTCTATACCTCCTCCTTTTTAAAAAAATTTATTTATTTGTGACAGAGAGAGAGAGAGAGAGAGAGAGCAGGTAAGCAGAGGGAGGGGCAGAGAGAAAGGGAGAGTATAGCTCTTTTATTATTTTTTAAAAAGATTTTATTTATTTGAGGAAGAGTGCACATTTGCACATGAGTTGGGGGAGGTGTATAGGGGGAGGAAGAGGGAGAGAATATCAAGCAGACTGCATACTGAGCAGGGTGCCCAACTCGGGGCAGGATCCCACCACTAGAGATTATGACCTGAGCCGAAACCAGGAGTGGGACACTCAGTGACAGCCACCCAGGCACCCCATCTCCTTCTTTAATATAGATTCATGTCTGAAGTTTTACCTATCTTTTTTTCTTTTCTTTTCTTTTTTTTTTTTTTGCCTATCTTTCTGATCTCTCTTTTAGCAGAGAAACTTAGGGAAGAATCTGTCCTTTCTTAAATTTTTAAATTCTTTATGCTTTGTTGCAGTTCTCTAGGGTTCTCTGGATAGAAGACTTGCAGTTTTATAATATCTATGGGGTGCTTGGGTAGCATAGTTAAGTGTCCAACTCTTGGTTTTGGCTCACGTCCTGATCTCAGGGTCATAAGATCAAGCCCTGAGTGGGAATCTGTGCTCAGCACGAGTCATGAGATTCTCTTTCCCTCTCCCTCCATCCCTCCTACTTGTGTGTTCACTCTCTCTCTGAAATAAATAAATAAATCTTAAAAAAAGAATGTATCTGTATTATGTGTACTATTCTGTTCCCTAAAGGCAGTCCCTAAGAAATACTGAGGGGGGTGCCGGGGTAGCTCGGTTAAGCGTCTGCACTTAAGCATCTGCTTTCGGCTCAGGGGCTAGGATCCTGGGATTGAGCCCTGCAACAGGCTCCCTGCTTATCAGGAAGTCTGCTTGTCTCTCACGCTCTGACCTTCCCCCAGCCCCATTTGTACTCGCTCTCTCTCAAGTAAATAAATAAAATCTAGAAAAAAAAAAAGGCAAAAAGAAAAGAAAGAAAAAGAAAGATTGAGGAAAACCTGGTTTATATTTGTTCTTTCCTCTCCAGCATCCAGGAATACACTCATATTCCAGCATCTAGGTCTCCCTAACTGTCCACAGCCTACATCTTTCTCTCATTTTAAAGCTTCTTCTCATTCTATTCCCTTGAACATCAATGGGCTCAAGTTATTGCTTCCCCCAAGTTTCTAGTGGCTTAATATGTTCTCTTTCCCAGGAAAAAGATAATTTTGTTCTCTCTCTTTTTTTTTTTACTTTGACTCAACTGTTACTTTTCCAGTTATGCCTTCATTAGCAACCAAATCCAAAACTGCAGTCCTTCCCAATTTACCTGTTTCCTTCCCCTAATTTAATTTTCCTGTGAGCATTTATGTCATCTAACACACTCTATGTATGTGTGTATGTATGTATGTATGTACATGTATGTACACGTGCATGTATATGTATCTGGTTATTGTCTGTCTCACCACGAGAATGTGAGCTTCATGAGGGCAGAAAGTTTGGTCTGTTTTGTTCACTGCTAGATTTCCCTGGCACCTAGAGTGGTACCTGGCACAAAGCAGACATTCAGGAAATGTTAGTTTACTGATCAAACCAAAAGGAATGATTCCTCTAGGGAGAACGACAATATGGAGACTGGCCAGTAGAAGTTTGACCACTCTGTACCATCTGCGTTACCTGCTCATGTTAGTCTTACATAGAGCAGAATGAGGCTCCCTTTGGCTTTGGTGTTGCTATTCCTGGTTCTAACCTTATCTCTGTCTGAAGCCAAAGAGGCTCAGAAGCCATACTAGGCTGGCTTTGTATTGGACTTGAGTTAATGGGAATAAAAAGGAGACCCTTAGCAGCCTGGATTTTGGCACTTGTGTTGCACAGTATCCAGTGAATGAATATGGCGCTCCCATTTTCCTTTGTCAACTAGTAGCCCCACAAGTTAACTTTAGACAGGGAGCAGCTGTGATGGTAGGGAAGTTACAGAGTTTGGCTTTCATTTTGTGTTGCACCATTTCTGTGCAATTGTTCCAGGATTACTGTGGCATGGCTTGGCCAGTACTAACTCAGAGATTCAAGAATGGCCTCTTTTCATCACATGCAGATGAGCATCGACTCAAGTAAGTGACTTCCTTTTCTCCCCTGGATGTGGCCTGAAAACGTAGATGGCAGATTATAATGAGGGAGAGAGAGCAAGTAAGAGTACAGGTGGGATCTTATATTGAAAGAGAATTTGATTATTTTAGATTTTGGCTTTCTGAGCAATAGGGGCCAAAATAGCAAGCCTAGTTTAACAAAGCCAAGGAAAACCAGAGTTACCAAAAGATATGAGTGGCTTGAAATCAAAAGCGGTGGGCTTTCTTAATTAAAATATGGAACATGCAGAAAAGTAGAAAGAAACGTAACACAAACCTCACCCAAGCTTCAGCAAATGCCCGTATTTTGCCAGTTTGGTTCATCAGTCCTCCCATTTTTGTAAACGTTTGTAAAATATTTTATTTTTTTTAAAACAATTTTATTTATTTATTCATGAGAGACACACAGAAAGAGAGAAGCAGAGACACAGGCAGAGGGAGAGGCAGGCTCCATGCAGGGAGCCTGATGTGGGACTTGATCCCAGGACTCCAGGATCACACCCTGCGCCGAAGGCAGGTGCTAAACTGCTGAGCCACCCAGGGATCCCCATTTGTAAAATATTTTAAACATAAAAATAAAACAGTATCGTGAGCTCCCGTGTACCTGTTACTCTGCTTCTCTACCAATGGTTATCAATTTCTGCCCAATCTTGTTGCATTGATTTTCCCACCCTCTATTCCCCTCCTATTGCAGCTGGGTTATTTTTAAGCAAATCCCAGACATGTACATACACTTGTAGGTATCTCAGCAGGGTCCTAGAAGATAAGGACTCAAGAAAAGAAAAAGGGGGCACCTGGTGGCTTAGTTGGTTAAGCGGCTCTTGATTTTGGCTCAGGTCATGATCTCAGGGTTGTGAGATTGAGCCCCACATCGGGCTCTGCGCTGGGCGTGGACCCTGCTTGAGATTCTCTTCCTTTCCATCTGTCTCTACCCCTGCCCTCTTAAAAAAAAAGAAAAAGAAAACACAGTCACAATATCATTACTGCATGAAGGTGTTCTTCACTTTTGTGCTCAGGTTTGGCTCCCCCTAGAGGGGAGGAAGGTGAAGTGTAAAGAGAAATGCTGACCTCCAGTGGGAATATAATAGACAAGGGAGGGAGGGCACATTGTCTATGACCATCTTCCTACTCCCAGTTCACCAGATGAATCAGAAAGTGAAGAACGTGTGAGAATTTAGCAAATTTTGTGTGCTGACACGTTTCATGAAGGACATTCCAGAATTATGAAACAACTGAGGAGATAGATCCTAATGGCATCTGGGTCAATACTGCCTTAATGAGAACATTTGTGCATTCTCACAATTGTAAAGTTTCCTTTCCCTCTCCATCTTGGTGACCAATAATACGACTGTAAATTTATGTGGTTTTTTTTGCGGTTCACAGGGTATTAATATGTTGAAGTACTATGTAAATTTAAAGAAGTCATAAACTGCATTTATTACGTTGGTATATCAAAAAAATAGAAAAAATTAGCATTAGAATTCTCTTTTTTTCCTTCTTCTTCTTTAAAAAAATATTATTTTATCACACAGATATCAGTGTTTTAAATCGGCTTGGATGTACCAAGTCCTGCATGAAGGATTCCACTTTCCCTATGACTACCCACACCTGCAGACAGCCCAGCTGGTATATGACCGAGAGGTTCAGTGGACACTGGGAGCCATTCTGTATAAAACACGATTCTTACCACTCAGGTAAAGTGGACTGAACTGGCATCTCGAGATCAGAGGATGTAGGTTGGTGTCTCACAATAGGTTTCTTAAGTGACCTCTCTCCCTCAACAAAGCATCCAAACTAAGTCCCTTTATTACTACCCCATGAAATATTATTTCTACCCAGGCATGTTGAAACAGAAAGAAGGCTTGAGAATTTAATCAGGAGTCTGTTCTTTAGCTTTGCAATTTCAGGAATTCAATTTTATTTGTTCACCCATAATAAATCAGTCTTTACTTAACCAGTTCTAAGATACTGAGTGATAAACTAAAATGTCATTCTTAGGTTACTGTAGAAAGCATCTGACTAGAGAAATGGGATAGGCTGTGTTATAGTCATTCTAGAGATCATATAATTGATTTAGAAGGCTTTTTGGGGAGCAGAATTAGAACAAAGCACATGAGATGCACTTAGGGGGGTATCGTCATCAAGCTGTGATAGCCTGATTTCTTGCTCTATGGACCATAAGATAGTTGGAATAATTTTTAGGTTCTTTCTACCCTGGATTATTTCAGATAAACTAAAATGAATTTTTAATCTTTGCTGCCTGTTTCCCTAAACTCAGAAGACAGGCAGCTGATAGAAGTGAAAGAAGTGGGGAGCTACAGAGTATGCGCTCCAGATGAAGCTGACTACTGTGCAGAAATGCTGTTCCAGCATCTGCCAGTTCTCATTTGTCAGGACAAGCCAGAAATCCATATTTTATAGGCAGTCTTTCAATTTGGAGATTCACATTTTAAGAAAATACTGCAGGTCAAACAAAACAAAGATGAATCTGGTATCTGGAGCAAAGAGCAGCTTCTGTTCTGAGCAGGCAGTCTACTGCTCTTTGGCTTACAGATCTCATTTTTTTCCAGATTACAATCCTGTTGATCAGGTGACAGCTTTCTCTCCATATATCCTAAATCCTTAGGAAGCATAGTCAATTTTTTAAAAGAATCAAATACAGTCTGATTTCTTGTTTGGATTTAGAGGTCACTCTATTCTTGTTAGTACTGTATTTACAAATTGTATGTATGTATTTACAGAAAGGTATGGGGTCACTGTTAAGACTAAGGTTATAGATGATCAGCCTTATCTTACTATTCATTTTTTTTTGCCTTCTGATTTTGTCCCCAGATTCTGGAGAATGTAGGCCTGTGACGCTCCCTCTGTAGGCCCTGGCAAAGAAAATACAGGATGAATCACATAGCCGTCCTAGGGCTGGAGACATTCTTTAGCTTTGCTTGCCCTGTGAAGCTGGTATCCTAGTACATTTGCATGAATAGAATGAATGGTATAACACCACTGGCCTTTTTGTTTTTAATTTTATTCATTTATTATTGAGAGACAGAGAGTGAGAGAGAAAGGTACAGACATAGGCAGAGGGAGGAGCAGGCTCCATGCAGCTCCATGCAGAGAGCCTGACATGGGACTTGATACCGGGTCTTCAGGATCACACCCCGGGCTGAAGACAGGTGCTAAACCGCTGAGCCACCCGGGCTGCCCCCACTGGCCTTTTAAATCAGCCTATTTCTCTTTGAAATTAACATTACTTTCTACCTTCAAACTCTTCCCTAGGGATCTACGGCAAGAAGGTGTCCGGCAGGCCCATGGTAGCTGGTTCCGTCTCTCCTTTGTCTACAACCACTATCTCTTCTTCGCCTGTATCCTGGTGGTGCTACTGGCCATCATACTGTATCTTCTGCGGCTACGCCGAATTCACCACCGACAAACTCGAACCTCAGCTCCATTGGACTTGCTATGGATCGAGGAGGTGGTACCCATGATTGGGGTACAGGTGGGGCCTTGAGGCCAGACAAGGACTTGGGAAGCTCCTGTACCCCACAGTTGCTGCCCATTGAATTCCACCATTTTCTTGTACTGGCCTCAGATGCTGCTTTGCCTGACCTTAGGATATTTGGCCTTGGAATTTCTACCTTAATATCTACTTTAATTCCTTTTCAATATCCAGGTCCTCTTCTCTGAGAGAAGCTGTAATTTAGTCTGTGAAGAACTAAATAATGAGAGTTTGGTGCTAACAAAGAGGACCAACCTTAGTCCAGTTGAAGCATGCTTCTACTCCTTTATCTGAGAGGTCTAGTGTGTTCCTGGCATCTAGACTTTTCTCCCCTTGCTAAAGCATGAAATTTGGCATTGGGTAAACTGGAAGCTTGGTTATAACCAAACTTGGAGCATCTGATACAAAGCTGAAGACATTCCAGCAAGTGCAGCAGCCCCTTCTTTCTCTGTAACAGAGATAATCATTTACATGGAGATCCACACCCTTTAGTAGGGAATCCAAGATATTTGCATTTCAGTGGAACATATAGGAACTTCCAGGCAACCAAAATAACATAGTTTCTTTGCTTACTTGACAAGCCATTTATGAGTGTGGCCCAAGGTCCCTGATGTGTTGCTGATGTTAATTAATTAGTATGTGATTTTAAAAGGTTAGAAGCCCTTCTAAATGAATGGTCAAAGACTAATGGTATCTTATGTGATACCTGGTATGCCCAGGATAGAAAATGTTTCTGTGTCTATGCTTCACTGGCTGTTTGGGCATTAATTTTTCTTTTTGAGCCTTAAGTGTACTTGTGGGTGGAGAAACTGATGCGACTGGAGATCTGGATTTGTCTGGTTTTAAGTTACTGTCTGTAGGCCTATTTCAATGAGCCTCTTTACAGCAAAATTCAAAAGGAGTTCATTTATTTCACTAAGATCAATATATAGTTCAGAAAGGGGTGTATTTGGATTGTTTTTAAAAGAAGGAAAGAACAGCATCAGGAGAGTGGGCAAAGGCAATAAAATCCAAGCTCTTACTTTTTCTGAGAAATAGAAATTTTCTCAATTTGACCCATGGAATGTCTGAAAAGAAGCAAATTCTAAACTTAGGAATAAATAGATAAATCTGCTAACAAGCCACCTGGCAAATTTTAGAACTTTTATTAAGAGATTGCTCCATCACAGACAGCATTCCCATTAATGAGGAGAGAAGAAAAGCCATATGATTACATTTTCATCCACTACCTTGCAGGAGCTTTGTTCCTCCTCTACATGTAGCCTTTAAATTGCACCTTCCCCCATGGGATCTTTTTCACTTTATCCTGTCCTACATGTAGCCTCTGATGTCCTTCCCAAGAATTGCTTCCAGATTTGAAGTAGCTGTCTTTTCCTTTTGTCACTTTATTTTTAGGGTTAGATGAGTACAGTAAATGATCCCTGACTTTAATGGGGGAGAAAAGTAGAATTCTTAAACCATAAATAACATAGTGTGAGCAGAAAGAAATTAAATGCTTCATAAAACAAAGAAAAATAAATCAAGATCCTCCTGGAAATAAACTGAGATGAAAACTCTTAGTTGGTAGGTGAAAAGATGATGAGTCTAAATTGTTTTCAAAACAGATAAAAATGGATCTAGCAAAGAGTCTTATAGTTTTCTCTGGAACTATTTTTACTTTCATTAGGGCTTTGTGTCACAGCAGTTTCCTTTCATCTTTAAGACTTCTAAATTGCCTTGATTTTGACTTCTCTTTGGGTCCCTGTGAATGAGCCCTCACCTTGAGTGCTGCTTAGAAATAATGTCAGAACATGTTTTTTTGTTAGCCAGTGAGTGCCTCCCCAGGTACTCTTTTTCCCTCATCTTGGTTTTCTCATGAGATCTTCTCAGTGATCTGGTCAAAAGCTACCTAATTAGCTAATAGTGATGACATTTGTGTGCTGGAAATGAAGCTGCAGCAGGGAGGTGGTGAGGAGTCCAGTTTGAAAACTCTTTATTAATGAAGTTATTCTTCCTCCTGGTTCTAAAAATGGTAGCTGCCATCTATTAAGCATTTATTGTGTGCCATACACTCTTCAGAATTTTATGTATATTATTTAATCATTATGACAGCCTTTTTCAGATGAATATTACTTTTTGTGTTTTTATAATTGAGAAACCCAGGATATCATACGCTTATCCTTTTTTCAATGTAAATGTATTATTCTTAATTTATTTTAATTAGCTTTTAACTTTTTGTTTAGTGTATTATATCCTATTTATTATTTTCATATTATAGGACCTAGGCTTGTCTTTGTTACCACGAGCATGACTTTTCAGAGTTATGGTATAAACATAAGAAGGACATGTTTTTATCATACCCCTCAGAAAAACTGAGTATTTGCTATTGGTATTGGTTCCTGTGCCTCTTTCATTGTTCTCAATCATTTTAAATGAAATCTCATTAGGTAGAAAGAGAAGCCACTTATTCTTTGAAGGCTAATTACCTATATGTATTGCTTTCTCATGATCATCCTGTGAATAGAATTGATCCATCTTGTCTTTTAGCCCTTAGTCTTTAAAGATTTCTTAAGATCTGTGTTTGTATTTCTGCATTTTCAGTGGTTTTCATTAAAGTCACATCCCAGAAGTTCTTCTGAGTCTTACCAACTAGTCTTCTATGAATAATAAATCTGAATAGTTTTAGTACTTCTTATCCTTAGTGAGACAAGCTGCAAATGTCAAAATCAGAGTCAGTGGCTGATAGGGGATAATGCTATCCCCTAGAACATAATGAAAATATGTATAATATCCACATTTATGGCATTACATTGACTTAAGTTGCAGTTAACTCTAGGCCAAATTATACCATCTTTGTTTCTGTACCTTAACTCCTTGGATTGATTTTTGTTGGTTTAGGGAATTTAGTCACTTTCCAACAACCTTATCTTAATCTTTCATGTTATCCAAAGTATTCCACCTCTCCTCCCCTCAGCCTGACAGCTTTCTTTAACTTCATAGGCATTGGGCAATGATTATTAAAATGTGGTTATTGAGTCTGTCATGCACTTGCTCAGCTAATCTTTTCAGATATTAGCATTTAGTATCACATGCATATTTGTTGTCATTGTTGAGGTATAGTTGACATAATATCATATTAGTTTCAGGTTTACAACACAATGACTTGATATTTGTGTACACTGCAAAATGATCACCACAGTGAGTCTAGTTTCCCTGTCACCATATAAAGTTATGTAACATGCAACGTGGTGTTATTGACTCTAGTCACCATGCTGAACATTACATCCCATGACATGACTTATTTATGACTGGAGTTTATACCTCTTGACCCTTCTTCTGTCTTGCTCAACCTCCCTGCTACCCCCATTCTGGCAACCACCTATTTGTTCTCTGCATCTATGAGTTTTTTTTCTTTTGTTTTAGATTCCACATATAAATGAAACCATATGGTTGTCTTTCTCTAGTTCATTTAGCATAATACCCACAGGGTCCATCCACATCACAAATGGCAAGATTTCATTCTTTTTTATGGCTGAGTAGTATTTCTCTATGTGTGTTTGTGAGGGGTATACATCTTTATCCATTTATCCATCAGTGGACACTTTGGTTGTTTTCTTATTTTGGCTATTGTGAATGCTGCAGTGAGCATAGCATATATCTTTTTAAATTAATGCTTTCATTTTCTTCAGCTAAATACCCAGAAGCAGACTTGCTGGGTCACATGGTAGTTCCATTTTTAGTTTTTTGAGGAACCTTCATACTGTTTTCCATTATGGCTACACCAATTTACATTCCCAATAGTGCACAATAGTTCCCTTTTCTCTATATCCTCATCAACACTTATTTCTTTTTGATTATAGCCATCCTGACAAATGCAAGACGATATATCTCATGGTTTTGAGTTGTATTTCTCTGGTGATTCCTGATGCTCAGCATCTTTTCATGTGCCTGTTGGCCATCTGTATGTCTTCTTTGGAAAAATGTCTGTTCAGGTCCTCTGCTCATTTTAAAATCAGATTGCTTGTGTTTTGTTATTGAGTTGTAGGAGTTCTTTTTATAATTTGGATGTTAACCCCTTACCAGATTTATGATTTGCAATATATTTTCCCATTCAGTATGTTGCCTTTTTGTTAATGGATTCCTTTGCTATGCAGAAGCTTTTTAGTTTGATATAGTTTCATTGTTTATTTTGGTTTTTATTGCCATTGCCTTTGGAGTCAGATCTAAAAAAATACAGCCAAGAGTGATGTCAAGAAGCTTATTGCATATGTTCTCTTCTAGGAGCTTTATGGTTTCTGGTCTTATATTCAAGTCTTTAATCCATTTTGAGTTAATTTTTGTGTATGGTATAAGATAATGGTCCAGTTTCATTCTTTTCCATGTGGCTGTTCAGTTTTCCCAACACCATTTATTGAAGAGACTGTCCTTTCCCCATTGTGTATTCCTGCCTCCTTTGTTGTAAATTGAGTCAATCATATATGCAAGGGTTTATTTCTGGGCTCTCTTCTGTTCTATTGATCTGTGTGTCTGTTTTTATGCCAATACCATACTGTTGATTACTATAGCTTTGTAATATAGTTTGAAATCAGGGAGCATGATGCCTTCACATCCATATTTACATTTTTGAAATAAAATAACTTCTCACTGGTATTATCTAAATAGATGGCTCTTTCTAATCCTTTTCCCATGCTTTTGTTTTGCTTTCTGTCAGGAGTGAGACAAGTGGGTGGTATGATATAGGGGAAAGAACACTGGTGTCACAAACAGCAGACTTGGATTCTCGTCCTGGCTGTGTCATTGACTAGCTCTGGTACTCCAGGCAGGTCACTTGCCCTCTCTGGTGCATTTCTCATTTGCAAAACAAGGTGGCTGGACAAGATGCTCTGATCTTAGTTCCAAAGGGAGAACCATTGGCCTGAAGAACTAAAGGTGAGAGAACAATAGGAAAGTGATAGTTTCAGGAAGAGGATTTTGGTCTTTGGTTCAAAAGACCAGGTTGCCCAAAGGAGAGCCAGTGGTCATCTCCTACTTTATTCATTGTCCCTGACATTAAGGTTGATGGGAATGGAGTTTCCAATAGCAATCATTAATACATAAATTTCAGAAGCGATTTTTACAGCTGGGATGTTAGAGGTCTGTCTTCTGTTAACCTCCTTGGTTTCATGGATGATGAAATCGAGGCTGAGAGCAGTGGTAATATGTGCAAAGTCACAGTGAGTGGCCTCTAGGACTCCATTTCCTCTACTATAAATACATACCTTTGACAGCTGCAACAAAATTCTCATTGACAGAATCTTCCTGCAAGATTATGTATTTCAATAGAATCTATTCTTTATAATAGAACTGACTACAAGTAACCATGCCCAATCTTTGTAACTGCTTCTGATACTCATTTGTGATTGCTTTGCTCACATTTAGGAATAAACTATAAAAGAAATACTTTGTCAGAAATAGCACCAAGTTGTTAGTACATCTATTCTACCTTCTATATTTAATACTTTTAAATTCTAGATGCTTCTTTTAAACAACTTGCTTTGTTTTGTACAATTTTCTTAACCGCAGCATCTAAGCAATTCATTTGATGGTTATAATTGAAATTATTTAAGGTATAAATACCTTATTAGATCTACCTCATTAATGAACTTGGCCATAATTCTCGGGCAGTTCTCAGACACTCCCTTACAGAAATAAAATGCTGTTTGTTTTTGCTGTCTTTAAACTTTTCATACTAATTCAGAACTAGTATCTAATTGCCCTGTGTGCTGTGTTATGTGATGGAACTTCATTTGAGATAAAAAATTAAAGTAGAAGTAGCAACAGATACTTCAGATTGTCCCATGGCAGCCTTTTAGGTCATGCTTAGTTTCAGAGTCCTGCCACTAGGGTCATACACTCCATCAAACTTGAAAGGATTTGGTTGGTGTGAACAAAAAATACTTGTTAAAAAACAAGGACTCTTTTATTATGTACTAATAGACTTCCTTTGTATTATTACATATTTCTCTTTTACTCTAATTCATTATTTCCAGTTTGTTAGTACCATCATTAGAGGGACAGAGGAGGTCAACATCTGTTGACCATTTTCTCTGGAAGTCTGAGTACTACGAAAATCCTTTTATTTGTAAAATTGAGTCATTACTCATACTGTAAGGGCTTTTTACTTTTAAAGTGTATTCAATCATGGCCTGCCATTTCTATAAAAACCAAAGTTGAAACAAATTTCTGAATCACAGGATGTTTATAGCCACGCATGTATGACTTCAGGCGAGCCTGAGGACACGTCTGCTTCTGAGCCTTTCCTTTTTAAGCAGTGCTGCCACTCACAGTCCCACTGGCAGCCTCCCACACTGCTTCTCCGGTATTAAGGTAGACCTGGTGCTCTCCTCAGGAGCCCCTTCTGCAGAGGACTTGCCCAAGTCTGGCCTTTTCAGACTGCTACTGGGGAAGGCTCTACACCTGATGAGCTTCACGACTCTTTCTCTGCGAGCAAGGATCCAAGACAAATACCTTGATTTCTGGTAATGCTATCACTATGTTGTATTTGAAATTCTCATTCCTCAGTTCCCCTTTTGTTGAAGCCCTGAAGTGTATGCCTTGTCTCCTCCATTACTTCTGTCTTCAACAATGAACTCCACAGTGTTGAATGGCATCTTTCTATTAAGACCCACAGCCAGACACTCCCTTCTTGCTTTAAAAAACCAAAGGCTACCTATATTGCATCACTTTTGGGAGTTGCTAAGACTGTATGTTTTTTAAAATTAAACTATTTCATTTCACTCAACAGTTCTTAAATTGTTAAATACTGTTAAATCAGTGTTGAAAAAAAGTGTAATGCATATTAGGGAGAGATACATTGTCCCCTAGGCAGGGACATGGGTGTATGTGTTACACCTGCCGATACATAACCCACCAATCATTCCAGAACTGGAAAGTGCTACAAATCAACTGGTTATCCTAATGTCATAATCATCACTTTAGGCAGTAGCTAATCATTACCTCTTCTACCATGGACATCTGTCAATGTAAATTAAAGACAAAAAATTCTGGATTGATAACAAAGCCAGGTGTTTTAATTTCCTTTGATCTAAAAACAACTGACAGAATTATGGACAGGCTTTTAAAAATATTAAGGGAAATTCACTTGATTTTCTAGGTATGATGACTTATTTTGAAGGAAGTACCTGGGACTTGTCTGTAATTGTCAATTTTCCATTCATTCATGCAATATTTGGTATATGTCTGAAGCTGGGAATAATACAAACATAAAAATAATTCAGATAATCTCCATTCACCAAGAACTCATAGGGAGGCACAAGGGTTACATAGCTAAATGCAACCAGAATCTGTTTTTCCAAACTTGAATTCATCTGTAATAAAAGAAAAATGAAGTAAAACATCTGGAACTTGAACTTACTCTTTGCTACTTTGTTGGAGGGAACTGTAAGGCACAAGCATAATGGCTTTTGGGGTTGGGTTAGACTGCCCTCTGCTGGCTCAATTATTAACCAAGACCACCTCAGTTTAGGGATCATGAGATGATCGATAGGAACCTACCCCAGTGACCAGTTTACTTTCTTTAAAGAATTCTATCTAGAAGAGGTGATTACCGTGAACACATAAATTCACATTAAATGAGATGGGGTGGCTAGAAATTCAGAGGGGATGGGAATAAGCTGGTCAAAACTTTCTAAGGTGACTAGGCTGTCAGGTCCTAGGCCAGTGGTGCCCAATTGTCTGCACACTGAAATGATATAGGGTACTTAAAATATTACCACTACTGCTTCCAGAGATCATGATTTAATTGGTCTTGGGTGAACCTTGGGGCTTAAGATTTTTTAAAATTCTAAGGTGAAAAAAGTTAGAAACTATTAATAACAAGAGCATAAGCCCCAGGGTACGGGATTTTTTTTTTAATCAAAGAAAACTATTTTTTTTAATTTTATTTATTTATGATAGTCACAGAGAGAGAGAGAGAGAGAGAGAGAGACAGAGACACAGGCAGAGGGAGAAGCAGGCTCCATGCACCGGGAGCCTGACGTGGAATTCGATCCCGGGTCTATTTCTTTTGTTTTGCTAAGAACCACTTGAGCAAAGTAACTGTAGGTCACAATGAAACTCACAGAATATTGGAGTTGAAAAGGAACAAGATCATCTAACTCAGATTGTAAATGGGCGAACCTTAGGCCATTTATGGCTTCCAGATGTGTTCAGCCTGCATCATGTTCTAAAAAACCTGAAATCTGCCAACCTTTGAGAGCTTTCACATAAAAATCTAGATGTTTTGTTTCTTTAGTCCAATCTGACAACTCTGGACCTACATAAATCCAATCTGAGCAACAGGCCAGAGCTCAGCAATGGTGTAAGCCCTTAGCTGGGGCCCCTGCTCTCCATTTTGCCACTGTCTTCACCAGCCATTCTCTAGTAGGCATTTGTTTTGCTCCAACTCTTGCCTTCTACAAAACTAAATACTAGCTTTCTGCATTTCTTTTTACCCATTGCTCCCAACTCTGCAGCATAAGCTCATTCCTTCTGCATGAGAGGGCTTCAACTTCTGAAGGGCAGCAATCTTGCTCTCTCCAAATGTTCTCCAGCTAAATACCCCTAGTTCCTTCAAGTACTCCCTGTGGGGTGTGGGGTGAGGACTCCTCCCCATCCTGATATCCCTTCCTCTGGATATGTACTTAGTGCTCAATACCCTCCTTAAATGTGGTACCCATGGTGAAACACAGCACTTGCACTGAAGTATTCTGAGTGTGGCTGTGACACTTCTATTGATGAAATCTGAAACACCACTAATTTTTTTATCAGTGTCATCACATTGTTGGTGTGTGTTGAGCCTGTGGCCAACTGAAATCCCTGTCTTTTTTAATATGAAATGGTAATGATACCAGCTTTCTCCACCTCAAATTTATACAACCTATTTAATTAAAATGAGGATGTTATTTTTTTTTAAAGATTTTATTTATTTATTCATGAGAAACACAGAGAGAGAGAGGGCGAGGCAGAGACACAGGCAGAGGGAGAAGCAGGCTCCATGCAGGAAGCCCAATGCGGGACCCAATCCCGGGACTCCAAGATCAGGGCCTTGGATGAAGGTGGCGCTAAACCGCTGAGCCACCTGGGCTGCCCAAGGATGTTATATTTAAAATATGTTTAATTTCATCTTGATGGTGCCACTCTGGAACCATTGAGTTGTGACTATCATCTATATTATATTAGCAATGTTGGGTTGTTCTATCCTCAAATCTGATCTTTGTGATGCCTTCATCCAAATCACCAATTTAAAAAATTAAGTTGAGTAAGAGTCTTGTGAAATATCCACAGAGACCAAAATTACAACAATTCATTAAACAATTTTTTTTAATGTATCTGAATAGATGTCCATGCACTACATATACCATCAAGGCCATACTTTAATTATCTGGGAGACTTTTAGGAAACCCTTTCAGGAACTGATTTCCTTCCATTCATCTGACCTAGTGATGTAACAGCACTATCAAAAGAAGAACTAGGTCAGTGCCTGATGAATCCAAGTGGGTTACCAGTGATTATCTCCTTTTCTAAGTACTTATAAGACATTGTGCTACATATAGACATTAAGCTTGTCAAACTCTACCCTTTCCTCATTTTGAAAATTGATACCAGAAGACACTATTTTTCACTGAAAGCTCTCTGGCTACCTCAGGGTGTGCTAGTCCTTCCCTTTGAATCTTCACCTGATGGAAGTGGAGTTGAGATCATAAAGAATTTCTTAGGCATAATTCAGGACTCAGGAGGTCAAGGAGACAAGAGATCATGAATGTAGAGTATCAAGAGCTTGCCAACATTAAGAAATCTGAGACAGGGACACCTGGGTTGCTCCGTGGTTAGGCACCTGCCTTCGGCTCAGGTCGTGATCCCGGGATCTGGGATCGAGCCCTGCATTGGGCCCTCTGCGAGGGAGCCTGCTTCTCCCTCTGCCTATGTCTCTGCCTCTCTCTCTCTCTCTGCATGTCTCTCATGAATAAATACATAAATATTTAAAAAAAAAAAAGAAATCTGAGACAGCCTATTAAGCAACAAAAGCAGACGTTTCTTTCTCTACATTAAACATGATTTTCAAAAAGAAAACTAAATTTATAAATATTTAGAAAAGGACTCTTTAAACATACTTAACGACACTCTTGATCCAGTGAATTTGTCAAAAACAAAGAATTTTAAATAACTTGACCAATTTGGAAACCCCTTGGTATGCCAAAGTCATCCTATTAGAAAACTTCAAGTTCTTGAGCTCTCTGATGAGCACTTTGGGTCCTAGGAAGCTGATCTTCTGAGAATTATTTTGGGACTCTTCGGAGTTCATTCATGAGCCAAAGGGCAACACTGAGCAGAGCCAGGGAGCCCGACTGGTGAGTGGCAGCCAAAGGAGTCGGAACATACATCAGCAAAGTGCTAATGCCTAAGCCCACCTGTTAGAAAGGAAAAGAATGCAGTTAAAAAAAAAGAGAGAAGAAAAAAAAAAAAAAAAAAGAAAAGGTAGGAACCACAAATTCTAAACAGAAATGACTGAGCACGGACAACCAGACACATAACCTCCACGCAGTCCTAGCAAAACCCTAAAAAGTATTATTTTAAAATTCCCACAAGTTAACATACTCACAACAGAGGAAATTCAAACAAAATAGATAAACCTGAAATTTTCCTTAATTCTCCTTCATCCTAGCCCAGCTCCCCTCCCCAAAGATAGTTACCAGTTTCTATACACTTGTACTTTTGTATATCATATGTTTGTGTTTTTAAAAATGGGATTGTTCTGTCACTTGCTTTTTTTCCATTTCATTTATGTCTTGAGATCTTATTATTTCAAACTGTTACACAGTATTACACAGTATGGGTGTACCATAGTTGTTTATTTAGGTTGTTTCCAGTTTTCTTGTTTTACTATCACGGCAATTCTGCCACAGATTACTTTGTACACAGCTCCTTGTACATTAAACTACTTCTAGGGCAGGCACTAAGAAGTTAACTTGCTGAACCAAATGATTATATACTTAACATTTTATTTTATTTAGATTTTATTTATTTATCTGACAGAAAGAACACAAGCAGGGGGAGTGGCAGGCAGAGGGAGAAGGGGAAGCAGACTCCCTGCTAAGCAGGGAGCCCGACCTGGGGCTCCATCCCAGGACCCAGGGATCATGACCTGAGCGAAGGCAGATGCTTAACCAACTGAGCCACCCAGGTGCCCCTATATTTAACATTTTAAAAGCTATTGCCAAACTGCCCTCTGAAAAAAACTATACCAACTCATGCTCTCACCATTTTCCTATGCCCATGCCAATACCCGCTTATCTTCTAAAAAAAATTCTCCCCCCAATCTGACAGGCACAAAGTGACATGCACTGTTTTAATCTGCTTCTCTTTGATAATAAGTGAGGTTAAAGACCGTTTCCTTTCATTGTTCCTCTGGTGAGAACTGTGTATATTGATAGCCTCATTTTATTTTCTGATTATTAATTCATACTAAGATAAAATCTTAAATAAATCAAATAATAAAATTTATTTATATAAAGAGATAATCAATATTATAAATATTGAAAATATTTTTCCCTAGCCTGTCACCTTTCTTTTTTAAACTTAGTTTTGGAGACACCCTCAGACCAAAAAGAAGGGGTTTATACCTGTGTATATGCCAAAGCTAGCAGAGTGGCTGCTGCCACCCTGGTCCTTCGAGGAAGGGGAATTCTCCGGGAGAAGAAGTAGAGCGCTGTCACGGCTGTAACTGAAGTGATTCCCTGCAGGGAGGAAGGCATTTCATCAAGTGCCAGGAAGAAATGTTTCACCCTCCTGGTTTCTGCTCATCTTCATATCTCTCCTCCAGAACCAGTGAGTAACCACTAAGGTTTCTTGTTCCAGGCACAGAGAACCATCTGTGGCTCTTCCTATGATTACTCCTCAATCTCCTCCACAATCTTCTGCTTCTCACTTAAACACTC